TTATTTATTATTTTCCTTCAAAGTATTTTAAAAGGTAAGGACCAGTTTGGGGGACTGAAGCCAAATAATTCAAATTTAATATATGCAGGTCAAATTTAAATTTTTAAATTTTTGTTATTTACAAATTTATTCTTCATGATCCAAAATAAATTTAAATTCTTAACTGTAAATTTTTGTAAAAAATATTTTAATTTAAAAATTTTAAATTTAGACCATTAAAATTATATATGAATTGTATATATTTCATCCTCACAACGAAATACTAAAACTAGTTCCTTTCAAGTTCATGCATGTAATAATGGCACTTTTTCACGGTTTTTTCTGGCCAAAGACACTTTTTCACGGTTGATCTTTGGAAGCTAGCTAGTGGGTACCATCTTGAATTTGTATTCAAATAAAAAAAATACTATCTACGGTCCTTAATATAAAATTTAAATATCTTTATAAGGATATTATGTATATTTTATGAAAATCTTGTGAGTTTCATTATAATTAAATAATATATTTTAGATTTTTCAGTCCCCCAAATTAGATAAATATATAGCTCTTTCATAACGGAGCAGAGGAGTCATTAGTATAGCGACAGGGAAAATAAATAAGGAGACAACTAGACAAGACTGAGCATTTTGATACAGTAACATTTGACAGGGGCAAAAAGGAAAAGGACAAAAAACTGACCATCAATTAAAATCGCATTATTTTGGCCAAAAAAAAATCATGTTAGATATTTTGAAATCTAATAATAGAGAGATTGAATAGTAGTGTTCATTTATTGGTGAACAAGACTTTGGCAAAAGAGAAAATTTACCCCGCAACATTTATTCTTGTCCATCTTCCCTAGTATGGTAGAAAAGGTATAAATATATTGCAAAATGTATTATATGATATTATCAAAAAATGTATTCTGATTTGGTCAAAAGAAATGTATTCTGATAATCTAAAAGCTAATTTTTAGAGTAGTAGTTATTATAGATGAAGCTTTTTTTTTGGCCGCAGATGAATTTATTGTTATTACATATAAATAAAACTGTTAACACAGTTAAAGTAAACTAATCATTCTATATATTTTAAAGTTTGATAATTAATTTATATAGCATTTTGATTAAAAAAAATAGATGAAAACAACGGGAATGAACTCATTTCATAAAAAAAAAAAAATTTGGAAATAGCCCCGAAAACTTGAAGCCAGGTTAGGGACCGTTTTAAATTATGGGTAGCCTTTTCATGCCTTTGATCAACAAAATGACATTGATTTTGGAACAAAACGACGATGCGCTTGTCATCAGCGGTAGGAAGTCAAACGTTGTTGGGGCAGGATTGAGGAGACTTGGAAAATTGGTTCAGTCTTATCTTTTACCGCTTCAATGCCGTACACTGTGGGGCTTTCCTCCTATCCGCACGCCACCAGCTTTATTAATTATTATTATTATTAATTTTCAAATCTTGACTAACTTTTTTAGGAAATTACAAACTAAAGTAATTCAGATCCGACCACAATAGAACCTATATAAGCGGCGACCCTATCACCCTCAAAAGATCAAACCCATGACTTTTAGTCAAACTGAAATAATTCTTAGTTTCTTACTAGTTAATCTAAGTGCTCCATAGTCCGCTAACTTAATTATTGATCCTGGTGTTGGCTTGCCTTGAATAATGCTTTTCTTTTTACCCAAAAGAAAAAAAGCTTTCCTGCTCCAAAACTACGAGTGCATACGTATGTCTACGTCTTCTCTTTTGTGTTTCCGCATGTTGTTCTTAATTATATGCTGTGAAGTGTAAAATACAGCTAACTAATTAAAACGCAGCAGGGAAGATCCGGCATCAGGGCGAAGATATGTGGGTGTTGAATTAACCCGCAGCCGCCGCAGGCCCCACAGTGCCTCACGTTACCCTTGGAATATATATCCAAGCCAATAAGTTAGCAATCTTTCCTCTATGTAACTATAAATATAAAGGAGGTCAAATCCCAAGAGATAAAAGATTAAAAAATGTGGTCAGTCTTGTGGGTGCTGCTCAATTCATAGCGGGAGGGTTAGAAGAGCAGTTCGGAAGACAAGCAGGAGGTGCCTTATGCCCCGGGGGTTTATGCTGCAGCCAATTCGGTTGGTGTGGTTCTACATTTGACTACTACAGTTCTGCTACTTGACAAAGCCAATGTGGCGGCAGCGGCGGTGTCCCTCCCGCCGGTTGTGTCAGCGCCATCATCTCCAGGGACACCTTCAACCAGATGCTCAAGCACCGCAATGACACTGCCAGAGGCTTCTACACCTACGATGCTTCATTCAAGCCGCCAAGTCTTTCCCCGCAAGAAGGAGATCGCGGCTTTCCTCGGCCAAACATACTCGTGGGGCACCCGAGCACCATTTTATGTGATCCCAGCACCCAATATCCATGTGCTCCTGGCAAGCAATACTATGGCCGCGAACCCATCCAAATCTGCCGGTACATATGATAGAGAAGATATGTGATCAGTCTGCATAGTTTTAGCTTATCTGATATACGCTGATGCGGGATGAGTGAATGATGATAGGAACTTCGACTACGGACGGTACGGAAGAGCCATAGGAGTGGACCTGCTGAACAACCACGACCTGGTGGCAGTGGTGCACTGTGGTCCTGGATGTCGACGTCGTCATGGGGAGATGGGGACCGCCGTCGCTGACAAGGCGGCGGGTCGACTTGCTGGGTACGGAATCATCACCGGCATCATCAACGGAGGGCCGGAGTGCGGGGTTTGAGGATCGCATATATAGGATTTTACAAGAGATACGGCGACATCTAATCCCAGAGGCCATTGGCCTTTTCCTCCTCACTCGTGCACGCGGCACGCCATCTAATCAATCTCATCTCCCTTCCTTTGCAGTAATAAATACTCCTCCGCTTCTTAATATAGGACCTAATTATTGAGTTAGTTTTAGTCTTAAATATAAGACCTATTTATCATATTTATCAATTTTCTCTAAAGTACGTTTATGGATACTCCCTCAACCATAATCAAGTAGAAAAGGGAGAAGATGTATTAAGAAAGATGATTATGGTATTTTAGAAAAAACATGTTATATTTCTTATAATTAATTAACTTACCTAACTTCCTTAATCTAATCAAATTAGTTAAATGGGTCTTATATTAGGGATCGAAAGAGTATATTACATTTATGTCTCTCTGTATGCATGCATGCTAGTGTATCCCAGTGCCCTTCTCTTATTCAATAAAATAATCTTTTTCCACTGCGCTTGCCATTTGTATTTTTAGCCAGTCCAAATCCCTCATTGATTTCTTTCTTTCTGCCTGCATATCCATTGACCAGTTTTAGAGTTCCTATGTACAACCTGCAGAGCCTCGTGGTAATGTACGTTGTTAATTAGTGCGTCCTAATTATTTCAGACTGATGGCGGTGGCTATTCATACGGACATTCAACCCTCCTCTTTTCACATATCATATATGAGAAAACTGTCCATAATTAATTAGGTTTGAAAACGCACTTTTGGCCGCTTGATCTACTTTGGATGCTCCTGAGGCTAAGCTAGCATTCAGTACCCAGAAATAAAAATAAAAATCTACTCTACCAGATGCCATCAGTAGATCGTTCTATTCCATCATATATAGCATTTGTTGATTCTGTGAATGACATTTGCGGAAATTTAAAAAAATTAAACAAACATTCATAACAACATATAAATCAATAAATTTATATGATAACATTGACATTTTCTCAAGGTGTCATATAAGGAACTTGCCACTAAATTGAGAAAGCCACTGCTGAAACGCAATATGACATGTGCCTACTTCATATTTTTCGGTCCAAAATGAATAGCAGTCGATCATATCAATTAACTTGACCTCAAATGATCTGACATGTGAACCTTGTAAACTGTTGAAATCAAAATCTCGAAATGTTTCCCGCTTCCTTCATTGCCTTCGAATTTCGCATATTTCAAGCATACGTAAAGACTCCATGCAATCAATTATGAACTAGAGTTTGGAAGATCGGGATTCGGAGCATCGATGAAGATCGATCGAAGGAGGAGGAATGGGAAGGAGATTGGTGTTGAAGTTCTGTTCGGTCGAGCCCCAAGCCAAATTTCAAAGAATCACGACTCCATTCCACCCTCCCCCTCCCTCATCATGGAATCAAGTTTTTATCTCTAATTTGAATGTTTCTTTCTAGTCATCCCCCGTGGCTCTTATATTGGTATTGACGAATCGGGCAAACCCGCAAAGGAGGAACGGACGAGGGTTTTTTTTTTGGGGGGGGGGGGTTATGAAATGGTCATTTTGATTTTTTGTAATGTTTTCAATCTATATTCTATCCCAAGATTTTATCTGCTATCTACAATTCTACATACCCAAAAAAAAAAACCTTTTAAAATACATTTTATTTTTATTTCCTATTTCATATTCATATTCCCTTTATTATTTCAATTCTCTCTAAAACCATTCTATCAGATCGAACCGGCCCTGAAGTTTAAGATATACTACCCAGACAACGCATGCACTTCTACCATCACTCATGGTCTGACTGTTTGCAAAATAATATGTGTGGGTAGGTATAATATGAGAGAATTATGCCATATTGATTTTTGCTGAAAGGAAATATGATGTTTTCAAGTTCTTACAATCTATACTTCACTATTAATGCTTCAGTCACTCACATTCGACATATTTCCAAGTGCACGAACAACCGTATATTTATTGATTTATAATTTTTTGAGTTAACGTTTAATTACTCAGAAATAATCAAGATCCTCATAAAATATAGACTAATCCATTAATAACTTTTCATGCCGGGTAATCACATGATACTATTGGCATTGTCGTTTTGGGCTATATTGGAATTGTCCCCCCTGTAGATTGTAGAGGGCCTCCGTATGGTCCTGAAGATAAGCCCATGAGCCCATATTCTTTGCGTCTCCTCTCGTTTGGGCGCTCTTTTGGCCCTTTTAGTGGTTGTTACGACACCGTATGGATAAACCGAACAAAAAGGAGGAAAACGCACTTATTTGAAGATTCTAGATGTATATTTCCGATAGTTTAAATTACATGAAAAGCCCATATCACGTAAATCTGATAGCAAGCATACGAACGGCTGAACACTCCAGGAAAAAGGCATCAATGAATTGATTGCACGTTTTCTTTTTCTTTGTTTTTCTTTTTAACAAAGTAAACAAAACAGCAAGGTTAAAATTAAGACTAATTTACGCACTAGTAATAGTGACAGGGATTCCATGGTGGTGACTCTTTTGCTCCCTGATACTTCTGAGAAGAGAGAAAAGTTCACAGGAGAAACAAGTAAGAAAAACAGAGGGCCGGCGGTTGTTGGAGGGAATGTTAAAAACGGGGGATGAGGGGAGGGAGGGGGCCGGGGAGCAAGAGTAACAAATGATAATATATATGTACAGGCAATTAAGGACGGAACAGAAAGGAATTAGAAGTTTAAGAGGGTGGGGGAGAGAGAGGAGAGCCAATGACTGTTAAGCTGAGCACAGAAGGGGTCTTGGTTCCAGTCCATGGAAACGAGGGGGAGCTGGAGGTCGGGAATCTTGTCACTGGTTCGTAGGGGTTGAAACAATTCATGGTCAGGCGATTCTTGCTTGAGGGTGGGCTGTGAGTGTTGGTCCAGGGAGGTGCAGGGGGAGGAGGCGCTGGGGAGTAGCTTCATCTCCTCCTCCAGCGCAGCCCTCTGCTCCAAGACCTTCAGGGAGGTGGCCTTTCTGTATATCTTGCAGAGGACAATGTCCCTGGGTAAGTGGGAGGAGTCGGGGAGGCGGTACTCATTCATGACCCAGTCGGTCTTGGAGCCGCGGGGGGCTCTGCCTCGGTAGAAAACGAGGGTCTTCCTCAGGCCGATGATGCGCTTGGGGTCGGACAGGCTGATGATTTTGCGGTCGGAACCGGTGGCTTTCCAGAAGCCCTTCTGGGTGGTGCGGTTGGGCCTGCCGCCGCTGCCGTGCTTCTTGTCCCTCGGCACGAAGAAGTACCATTCCCTTTCTCCCACCTTGGCCAGGCCTGCATGCGCATGAGTATTTGTTGTTATATGCAAGTGAAAGATATGATATAGGCACGAGGAACACATAGACGTAAGCAAAGACAGATACACACACATATATACATACCGGGCAGGTCCCAGGGATCGTGGTGATAAATGTTGAGGAAGCCAATGATGTCGAAGCGGAGCTTGTTGCCAAGGATGGTGTTCTTGAGATAGAAGTCGAGCAGTTCTTCTTCGGTGGGGTGGAATCGGAAGCCTGGCAGTTCCATGTCCGCTGTCATTTCGCTCATGTATGCGTGTGTGTGTATATGTCTCTTGGCTTATTGCCCTTCAGACCTGAAAGCCCCCCCTTCCCCCAACTCCTTTATATATTAATATACCATGCTCCTTCGCAATCTATTTCATCATTCGGTGAACGCTCCAGATCATTCCCAATCTAATCACTCGTTTTACTGATCAATCACATGGCCACGCCAATCTCTCTCTCTCTGTTTCTTTCCCTTTTAACAAAAGTTGGGCGACTGACCGGGTTTAATTTGAGATTGATTGATGATGATGCTGCCCGGGAGTGGTAGGACCCACGCGGCTTTGCATTTAATCACCTCAGACTCGCTCTCTCTTGGTCTCGGGTCCTTCATTGACTTCCCTTTCTCCATCTGTTTGGCCTCTTCCCCGGAATTTCCTCTTATTTTCAGCCCCATAGTTGTCCTCCCGTAGGCTTATGATGGATCCAAACACCCTTTTAAACTTGGCTTAGTTTATCTTCGATCTCTTATCACCCCCCATAAAAAAAATAAAGTGAGCATCAGCTTTGGGATCGTGTGTGATAATTAAGTTTAATTGGTTTATTGGAAGTCAATAATAATAACTTAACAATCTGTTGAAATTGAGGCAAAAATGAAAAAAAGATACGCTTCATTTGGACGGATGACTTAGTCCTACCATCTCTTGTAAAATTACAAACGAAAAGAGCGCAGGTGTCTTGTTTCTTCTAGGCATATTGATTCCCGTGATCGTATCCAACTCTGTAAAATGTCCATTTTTTCATATGATCGGCGAATGCAATTGAAAATCACACGTCGTCATCTCTGACACGAATAAATAAATTGATGATTATTAGTGTGAACCTTTTGGGTAAGTGCATCAGTGTTTACCTCTTCATTAAATATCATCTCTAAACGTTGTCGATGGAATTATTAATACATGCACTTTTGCATATGCTTTACTTGCATACAATGATGTGTATGATCTAGTATGTTGGCGGAATTAAAAATACATGCATACATGTTCATGTACATATACATACATACATACATTCATACGCGCGTGTGTGGTCAACCAGTACGGTATGTGATATGATGTCATTTTAATCAATTAGCAAGAGAAACACTTGCCGTATTAACGTTGTAATTTTTTATCCTGAAATTCCTGTCGCAGCATGATCAACAGGGTAAACTCAGTTGTTCAAAGCATACAGGAGTAGAGAGAAGAAAAAAGTTCAAATTATATACATGTATCACAAAGCAGTGACTTCGGGACAGACATAATTAGACGAGAAAAACAAACAAACTTGTTAAAAGGTTGTGAAGGGGGAGAGAGAGAGAGGTAGGAAGTGAGATAATTGGAGAAGAGAGGAATGGGTCCAAATAACTAATGGGGCGATGGTTGACGGAGTCAGATGGTGCATATTGTGGGAGTGATGACAAAAGAGAGGAGCATAAAACATGGAAAAAGGAGGAAGCAAGATGGGGATTTTCCAAAGAGATATGATTCCCAATTCAAAGCCATTTACGCGTTTGCAACATTAATCTTCGCCTCCAAGCCTCACAATCTTTCTCTCTCACACCAGCGATGATGGACGACGCAAAACGCTTTGACTTGCAAGTCTTGTGCGAAGACTTGGGGAGTAAGTCTTTCCCCATTTGAAGTGAATTGGATTTAGGGCGCTATTATTGAATAATACGACATTTAGTCCTTAATGTAAAACTCATCCAGTACTGTAGAGTTGATATCGGCGCAGCTGACCCAGATGAACATCGCCACGACTACTGTGTTCTCCAAGAAAAATAAGATCGATGCTAAGCCGGGACTGGGAAGTGCATCTAATAAAGCTGCTGACTTTTTTGCTAAAAAAAGTCTTACTGATCTGAGAGGTTTTCATTTAATTGGTACTGCTCCTACTGAACTGTTCCCTATTCTGGGTTTTGATCGCTCTGCTGCCACAAGCGGTCACGTAGGACTTACATGTAAGGTTTCCTATTGTTATCAAGAAGGAAAAAAAACTCATCCACTTAACTTATTTAAAAAGATTAAAAAATTAAATAATAATGGTCGGACCTTGATTTAATGTTTGGGAATCTACTGGAATACAATCAGCGTAGTTGTTAGAAATAAAGTTAGTTTTAATCAGGACCAACAGATACTAAATAAATAATATATATATAAATTAAAATAAACCTTGTGTGTGTTTACTCAGAATTTGAGATGGTCAACATTATATATGGTTCGTAAATAGTATAACTTTTGTGTCACTACCTTTAGTTGAACACACACACACACGCACACACGATATATGTATGATACTGAAGAATGGGAGATTAAAGCAGACAATATTAATTAATTGAGGAACATATATCATGTGAGATCTGTGGTATTGGAGAACGTAGGGAGGGAGACACGCGAGTCGTTAACATGAGTAGCTTCGTGCGCTACTTCCTCGAATTTTCTCAGCAAATTAAACAAAAGAAGCTTTGTGTACAATCCGTGGAGCTGAAACGGATGCATCTACTTTTCTATTTATACTTCACAGCGCATGCAAGCAGACGAGTCCGTACATCCACGCCTCACCGGAAACTTCGTGCTCCTCCCTTTTCAATTCCCACATCCCAATCCCTATTACACACACACACACACACACATATATATTTACATGCCTCTATATACTTCACATTTAATTTAAGAAAGTAATGATCTTTCACGGGACTTGCCGCCATGGGCATCCACGACACTTCAAAAGGCTCTCCCACATCCACCCTTGTCCCCATCAATCCCACCAAAGCTAAACAATTTCCCAAACTAATTACTCACTAACCCCTGCAACACATATTGGCAAATAACGGCAGAGGTTGTAAAATTATTAAAGGAAAATTGGATCAGATGATTGAAAACTGTAAAGGCCGTGTCACTGTTTGGTTTCAGTTATACATGTCTGCATATAAATATATTATTCCGTCCTAATTATAAGAGTTAGTTAAGAATCTTAAATATAAGACCTTAATTTATTTTATCTCCCAAATTTATAATATATTCTTAAAAATATCCTTATTGATTATAAGATATCTCTATTCAAATGTAATTCTAAAATAAATGATTTGAATAAGGATAATTTAACACATTTGTTACAAACGACAAACTTAATTAATTTTTTTAATTTTTTCAAACTAATTATTTAGTTCTTAAATTATACTACCTCTGGTCCTAATTATAAGACCCAGTTGACTAATTTGAGAAGATTAAAGAAAGAAGTTAAGTTAGTTATTTGTAATAAATAGATGTTGTCTTTCCTAAAATATCCTTACTAATTAACTATATTGGCTAGAACTACAATTATTAGAAGGACTATCTTGAAAAAAAATGCATAAATATGAGAAACAAAGTGGATTTGGGTCTTATATTTAAGATCAAAATAAAATCAAACAAGATCTTATATTAAGAATAGAAAGTAGTATCAAGGAGTGGAGGTAGTAGCATATTGATAGTTGGATCTTCTAATTTGTGAGCTAATGATATCCCTTTGGATTTGCTTACAGCTATGAGACGAACAAATAGGGTAATTTTAGTATATAAGTATATAGGAGGAAAAATAATAAAACGAAATTCCGTGGACAATCATTTCACGTCACTTCCGGGGCATGACTTGACTGTAGAAAAATTTGCAAGTGAAGGTACACGTCAATGCATGAAGAAATTGGGGGCGTGGACTTGGTCTCTCTGCAGAGGTGAGAGACAAGACATGTGCTTTCATTTCCGCTGTCCATCAATTCCATTTACACTTGTTATTTCTTTTCTTTTTTTTTTTTTTGGTGCGGAATCACTGCAAAAAAATAAAATTTACGCTGATCAACCCATTCAAAACTTAACCAAACCACTCACGAGAATTACTCCAGTTGGTAATTAATAAGTTGATTTATAACTCATAAAATCATGAGTTCAAATATCGTTGCCCATGACAGGATCTTGTTAGTAGAAAATTTGTAAACACCTATATAAAGACTTTCTGAGTTTAAAAGCATACTTTGATCCTGATGAGTTTTCAATACCTAACTCACTTAAGCTTTTCTATAATCTATACCAAAAAAAAAAAACCCTTAACCAAACTAATCACTGATTCACTATTAACCAAACTAATCACTGATTCACTACTCTGATTTGGCCGATTTGAATTGAGTTTTGATAGGATGGATATCACCAACATGCTATATTTTATCCTATCTTTTCCCTGAAAGCTACAAACAAGTGCTGGTCCATCATGAAAATAAAAATCATGTTGATCTTAGTTACCCCCCCCCCCCTTTCACATCTAAGATCCACAATATGCTTCTGGAAGTCACACTCACGTGGGCCAACCCACTGGACAACATATGAAACAATCTATAATCTACAATTTTCAATATATGTTTATGCTATCAACAGAGTTGAGTTTAACAAAATAATTCCTTATAATATAGTGAATCAAAATTCGAATACTCATTAAGAAAGATATCTATATTTAGTACTCGATAATATCTCGAATAAGATTATCTCTAGCAGGAGAATACCATACCTAGAAAAAAAATGTTCATGCTAATCTTATTTTGTACCAGTGCCTAATTAAGTACGACTCATAAAAATAATTAAGATAATATGTAAAAGCCCGCATTGTCCCGAGCTTACAAGCGACACCAAATGGATTGCATAATTTGGGCTTCGGAGACCCAAAATTCACGTGGTCCAAGAGGACACTCTTTGAAGAAGTGATGGGAGAGGTGTGAATGGGCTGGACTGGGCTGCCGATTAACCATATTTTTGAACCCAAGACCCGGCCCTAGTCCAGTTAACCAAATACATAAAATAATTTTTATGAGCTCAGCGCACAAGATTCCGGAGGACTCGTGTGCTTATGCCGCCAACAGCACGAAAATTCAGTGAAGGGGTACACGTTTTACAAGTAAATTCAGCGTTATATCGAATCGACTCACTTTACGGTTGACTTGAAGCCAGATTAGTGGAATGCCCGTCTTGCATCGCTTAGTTGAGGCGCTTTTACTGCATCCACATTCATCATACATAGCCACCTTAAAACAAGCTCAATATTGTTCTCTACGAAAATTGATAGAGCTATAGCTTTGAGTTAGTTGGCATACGATCGCATTATTAACGACCGTTACAAAATGCCTTTTTAACTTTGAAAAATAATGTTGGGTTCTTAGCCACAAAATATTGAGTGTTCCTGGATGCCCTCAAATGAGCAACGAGCAGGCCCAGCATTTTCTTCATAGTAAGAGCGCTTGTCCAACACACCACTTCAATATGGTCATTACCATTGCCGGACGGTCAACGGTTGATATTCCCAATTATTCTTTGACTGTTTATATGCCATGCTGAAACCAAACGAAACCACAGTGAAACAAGATTGCACCCAACTTAATTTACTAGGAAGAAGCAAGGTGAATAGGGTCAGATAAAAGCTTCTGCTATAGGATGAAACCTACGCCTCCAAACAGAAGATAAGCACATCTTTTAGGAGATTAGTCACTGTTATTGTACTAACCATGATCATGCTGGTAACTTGCCCTTTTCCTCCCTTTGGATTGATTCACTACTATCCATAAAACAATATATATATATATATAAAGAAGATTACATACAGAGCAACAAACCTTATCAATAGGTGCTGCTCAAGGCTCATATACATCAACCTGTTGCCTTCGAGGTAAGTCAAGTTTGAGCAACTTGGTGAACTACAACATATAGATCAACATACACGAAGGCAGTCAGTAATTGGAGCAGGGTGCTCAAAATCAAGTGAAGAAATAGACAGTTATTTCATGCAGCAGATGGTTTGTAGAAATTTACATCCACTAGAGCTTTGAGTTTTGACATGCAGATGCACATCAGAATCTCACCTGCGATGTCTTGAGTTCTAGCTCATCCCACTCCAAATAAGGTTTGCTTCCTTCCACTATACCTGTTCCAGCATATATCCATGCTCCCATATCCTATGAAAAAAATCTTGTCAACGTTATCATGGGAAGAACAGCACGACCAATTTTGCCTGTAGCTACTTACTCAAGGTACAGATATAACTGTCAAGTCTTGTGATAAATTTCCCGAACCAGGGAAAACTTAAGAGATGATTTTTCTTTTCATATAATAAGAGGGCCAAAAACGATAATTATAAGTTTGACATAATACCAATACATAATTTATTTCTCTTATGTCTAGTAAGGCGCTCTTGAAAGTGGTATCCAATTAGTAATTTGACACAAATCAATAAAATGATTTGCAAATAAGTTTCCAAATTTTAGCATAGAACATTGTAAAAAAAAAAAAAATCTTACTAATTTATTCATCAAATTGTAGGGATTTGAAACTCATTTTTCAAACTCTACGACTGATTATAAAATGCTTTGCAGCTGAGTTTAAAAAATTTAAAATGGAACATTGAAAAGCCTCGTTGATTTCTTCATCAAGTTTTAGATATTTAACACCCATTATTCAAAATTTAAAATTGATTATAGAATGAAGTTGAGCCTCTATATCTTACCATACAATATTGTAAAAAAGAAAAACTTTAGTAAGGGTATCTAAGGAAATTAACTTTGAAATTCTGATCACTTATATTTTGAAATGTTTTGGTCCTTCCTTGGCATTAATTTGCTCTTCGGGGTCCCAAAGTGTCGCTCCCCTATATTCAATTTACCAGTTAATCTGCGTGCTTAAACAAGAGTTGTGATGACATTCTATTCTCTCCAGTGTCTCAGAAACATGAAGCATCACTTAAGAATATGACCAAAACATCATAAAACAAATTATAGCCAACCTTTTCCACCAAAGCTGACCTGATGCCAACAGCAAACTCACTCTCCCCACCTCCAAACCAACCAACAGGTCCAGCATACATTCCTCGATCAAATAATTCTGAAAATAATGTTTGAAAGCAAGGTAACTTTTTCCCCAATGAATGAAAGCCACAGATTTATCAATCCAAAAGCACAATTATGCTTCCCCAATTTTAGTCTAATTGAATACAAACATTTCTCAATGTGTACAATCAAAAAGCATAGTTACACTTCCATTTCAACGTTATACAAGCCATGACCTTTTTTTTTTTTGGCCAAAAGCTACATGACTTATTCCCCCAGCTAAGTCAAAATGGTTGTGGTCAAAAGCACTCCAAAGAACAAATAGGTTTAGATGATTTAATTGCAAATGAATATAGCATAGGGAGCATAGGATTTTTATGTACCTGTATCTGCAATCAAAATTTGTGCCTCTTCTGTTGGAAACCCACAAACTGCAGGACTTGGATGAAGTGATGACAAGATTTCAAACTGGAAAAGATGAGGACCTAATTAAATGATGGATACTCAATAATCATACTTCTGTGAGTAGTCTAGCACTCATATTGTCCTATTGTTACCTCATCTTCTTCGCTTCTTAACCTGCCAGCTAATTGAGCAAATAAATGTTGGATCCTTGGGAGTTTTCTTATTGCTTTGCTTGGTTTCACCAGTACATCCTCACACACTGCCTGTTGAGCAGAATGATACAAATATCAGTACCAGGTGCTGGAACTGGTGGCAAAAGCACATGCGTAGACCAAAGGGTTCCCCTCATGGTAACTAAACTAACAAAGGAAGGAGTTTTTTTTTTTTTTGGGACTGATAACCAAGCGAGATCTAAATTGACTACAATAGGATGAAGATTGACGTGCAAAATAAAATAGCGTATAGAGCACTAGTGTATACAATGTAACATAGAACAAAGATAGTTTTGTGCTGATTTTCTACATCGATTGCATTGACCACAAATTAACAATCAAGGACAAATGAGGTTCTAAATTGTGATCGGGAATACTTTATAAACTAGCCCATTAGTTTTTCTACCAGGTTCTTCAAATTTTAAAATTTCACAACATAATATTCAAAAATTGAATTAAAGCATATTATTTTCCATACATCTCCCTCTGAGTAATGATTCTCAAAGAATTCAACATTCGAGGAGAAATTTCACATATGCAAAAACCAAACATGCATAAGACAACATCTCTCCTCCAACAGATCAGCAACACAATCTAATAAAGAAGATTATGAAGATAAGTTTACCTCCAATTTACTTCTTATGGTCTCTCTGACTATAGTGAACTCCATATCCTCCTTTGGACTGTAAATAAGATACAAACAACTTAAATGATAGAAATTGGCAAGCTCATTATAGATGCAAATAGCAGAAATTATGGGTATCAGGAAAACAAGTCTAAAAGAGCAGTTTTCATAGGCTCTGAGCACAAATAGAACCTGGAAAGTAAATCTAGTGCGATTTGACGATCCAGTGCTGTTGTTGCACCTCTTGCACGGGTTCCAGCCAACGCTTCACTAGTTATGTGAAGCCATTTTCTGTGAAATAGTTGCTCTGGCTATTCATGAAGTTCATATAAATCAAAAATGAAACAGGGAAATACAATATATAATTGCTGACTCAATTCAGCAGAAAAATCTTTAAATTTCATTTCTGAGGCATGCCATCAAAGCATAGCATGAAACGATAAATGCAATGAACTGCATAAGCCATCTTAGTTCATAGTTAGACGGAGTAATACTTACTGTGTTTCCAATGAAGGCCGGTGCATTAGGTGGCTGTAAGAAAAACTGGAAAGCATCTGCACCTTCAACCTTCAATAGGTTTGGTTCAGATACTTGACAGATGTTATTAAATGCTGTGAAGAAATAACTACAACTTGTAAGGTAAGATTAGATTCCTATACCTGTAAGGATGCTAACCACGAAAGAGGATCAATGTCAGCAGTAGGCATTACTCTGGTACTTCGAGCCAGCACAACCTGATTTTCCATTATGTTAGGATATAATACTATAATAGCACCAAAGCAGTAAAGCAAGACCGAGCGGGAAGAATAATCAAAACTAACAAGCGTGGAATGCGAATTAACCTTGGATAGTAAAGAGTGGTTTTTCTGTATCATCTGCAAAGCTCTGTTAACGGCACGATCCCATTCTACCTTAGAAGGAATGTTATGACTGATTATTATTGATGTTCGAGGAGCTTGTTTTGGAAACTTCACAATGAAAGAAGAAACCTGCGGCACAAAGATGCACGGTTTCAACTAAATCGGTTTCTATATTTGAAACACAAAATATAGATCCATGGACCTTGCAAAGTGTTGCTCGGAGTGCATTGATTGCATTTTCCCATGACCAGGAAAGAGCATTATCCCACGCAATAGTTGCAGCGATCATCGACGTTCCTTCAAGCTCATCAAACTCGACCTGTCATTTTTTTATTTTGGGTATATCTCTAGCTGCTGATGCTATAAATACTAACGAGAAAAACATCACAATGATACAGAATAGCTATTGATTTGGAGAAAAAAAAAAAAAGAAAAAGAAAAAGTGGGTTACCTGAGGAATCATGAAGTAAAAAGAACCAAAAGGCAGCCACTCGGGCGACACCTTAGCTTTGGGATTGAAACGTATAGCTCCATAAGCTCGGATTAATGGGCATCTCTCAGAAAGAAACCTTCATAGCAAAGTTTCAAAGAAAACGATGAGAATTTAAGGGTCAATGCACGTGGATTTAAGTGGTAAACAGTAACCTTTTGATGGAAAGCCAGTCGTCGTAAGAAAAAGGATGTGGCTGCCGGAAGAAGACGGCGGAACCGACACCAGCGATGCTGACTAATTTGTGTTCGCATGCCATAGACATTGAAGTATGGCCATTTCCAAGAGAGGGATGCGTCGCTCGACCTGAGAAAAAGCAGCGAGGAAGCAAAAGTTCGGACTGGGAATGGAGCCAATCAATAGCCTCAATCTGTCCTTCGATCGCCACCTTCAATCCAAATGTCAAATATATGAAACAACATTCACCTTCTCTTTGCAGTTATTACCCCACAAAAAACAGTTTTTTTTTAAAATTTGAAATCAGTCTTATTATTATATTTTTAATAATAATTAATAACATTTTAAAAAATATTTTTATAGTTATTTTTATTTGGAAATTTGAAATTTTCTCTCTCTTTTTTAATAAAAAGAAAAATAGAATGTGAAAGCCTGAGTCTATATTTTTTCCCCCTTGCGGAAGCGTGAGTCTATTACTCGTTACGATGTGTCCCCTTCTTCAATGCATGACCTTTTTTTTTTTTTCCCGATAAGATAAATGCATGAGATTTCAGAAGGAAGGAACTGAACGACATTCTAAATATTCTCAACAGCATTTGATATTGCGTATATTCTTCTCACGGACCTTATAATTTTTATTCTGCTCATGATTATATATATTTTAAAGATAATCAATAAGTATGTTAATATCTTTAAAATTTTATCATCCAACATCCAGAACTAAAAGCTGGGCCCAAGCACACAAAAAATAATAATAATAATCCAGAAGTGAAGAGCAGAGAACGCGGGAGGGGGAAAAGGGAAAAAGCGAAGGGTGAGTGAGGCGGATACTGAAAAAGAATCAGCATTTCATGTGTATTTTTAGATAATACGAAAAGGAGCGAAAGAAATGGAGGAAAAAACCTTTGGAAAATTAAAGAGCGTGAAGCAGGAGATAAGGGCAGAGCAGGTGCGTGACGTGGGACAGGGAAGGCCTCAAAATGATTCAAGGAGGAGCGATGAGGGAGGCAAGGCAGAGAGAAAAGAATAGCAGGAAACCTGGAGGCGGATGATGCCGGAGGTAGAAAGAGGAGGTTGAGAAATGAGGTGGGAGACGGCGGAGTTGAGGGCGTCCATAGCCATTGCCGGCGACGCAACTGAGGGAAGAGTGCGCGTCTCAATGGTACCAACTGGGATTAGTGGATGCCGAATTACTCCTTGAGGTCTGCAGCCATTGAGGGAAAGAGAGCATGCCTTGAATTGAGGCCTCTGCACAAAACAAGAAGATCACAAACGCTTGAAGTTGCAAACAAATACAGGAGAGATATAGAAGGATGGTACGAGGGGAGAGGGAGGAAGCCCAATTACGTGATGACGCATAAAACCAAGGGATTGCCTGCTTGAATTGGAAGCTGCGAAAATCATGATGCTGCATTTTCCTGATTTTGGCGTGGTAGCTCCGGGCTCCATTGCCAGCTGAGCTCTTCTCAACGCAGAGCAAGTGCTACTATGTGATAAGCAATCTTTTTGTCCCGTCAGGAGGTGAGACGATGTGGTGTGGCAAGTGGGCCTTCCCAGCCTCTGTAGCCTGTATCATCTTGTTGCTGTTAGTGGGACCCTTTTTTACCAAATTCGTTCAAATTTTCCCATTCTGGCCGCTCCCCCCCCCCCCCGGGGCCAATGTTTGTCAAACGAATTTCCCCATTGTGCAAGCAACACTTTTTCTAATTCATCTTCATCTTATAAATTTAACGTGCTGATTAGGGTGATAATGCATTTCGTTCATAAATACGATAAAGGTAATTGAGTATGATTTGCATTTTCAAGAACAAAATGATAATTTGATTTTTTGTTTTTGTGATGGGGAGAATTAATTCGTGTGATTATATATGTGCGTGTTTTGAAATTTAATGGCTACAGGAAATATTTATAGATAAAAAGACATTGTTCTAAAACGGTAGTTTTTAGTTGGCAAAAACAAAAAAGAGAGAAGAAAGAAATGGTACTTTCAAAACAACATAACTCTTTAATTATAACTATGGCCTCACATTCATGATTCGTTAGTCGGTCCCTTCAGGTCGGGCGCCGCTATATAATATAGCCCTGCATCTGCATGGCTGAATTTTACATTAAAAGAGGCGCTCGCACTAAGTGGTAATGTCGACGCAATAAATCCTTCATTGTTGGCCTCGCAACAAGACTATATCCTCAACAGCCCATGATTGTACATTATTTTACATCACAAATATGCAGAAATACCGATTCTGAGTATTCTGAAGAGAACTGGTTTCACGGCCAGGTGCCGTCGTCACAGGGAGAACATCCCTCCTGCGCAATGTCACTTATCTGAACACCAGTGTCGTACACTTGTCCCGTTTTCCAATCTGCAGGTAACACCTTCTTCGCCCACAGCCACTTTCCGTCGTACCCTGATGTTACCACTATCCTCATTTGTAATGCGCCTCCTGGAACCCTACTCGTGTCCCACACTGCTCCGTGGTTTCTGCTCATGAAGCTCCAGTTTGACGACTCCACCTGCAACCAATTTGTCGCCCACATCTATATATATATATGCATCAATCATAATGGACTTCTCTTGCTCGGCAATTGCACGTACCTGAGCAACATCAACGCCTACTATCTCTGTTTGACCTCCTTCGTACAGAAATTTAATTGCCAAGTAATATGGTTTTTTGCTTGATTCTTCCACCCGGACCGCCAAATTCTTATTTTTATACTCACACGGAACTCTGCTTCCACAAACGCATACACCACTACGTTGGCCTCATTCTTGATTCATCAATATAATAATTCTTGGCAAGTGCTCGCTGAAAAGAAGTGCGTTGATTCGAGTTTACCTCTTAAATTCAGCATCCAAGATCCCAAGCTTCAAAAGTTGTTCCCCGCTTCCTTTCTGAGCCATGGCCACGAAGGCACTTCTGCTGAGCACAAAATCAGTTTCATTGTGGGTATTGAGATCCGTCAAAACAACTCTGCTACCTGATTTGGTACACAGACTTGAGCTCTTGCATCTTATCTGCACAAATTATCCGCAATCCCATGGCATTTTTCATGACTATAATAGGAGCGATCAGTAATAAACCATATTGGAAATCCACAACTTGATGTAATTTTTACTTGCCTGAAAGCACGCACCACAACCGGCTCCATTTTTGTACAAGGAAGGAACACCACCTGCAAGGTGTCCACCGCTTAATTCCAACGCCAGGGACCCATACCCACATGCCCCAGCTGCATCATTTTCACAAAACCGAGTTATTTCCTGCGGGTTTGCTTAATTTAAAGAAGCCAATTAACTCAAAAGGATGAGAAAAGCAAATCGTTGTTACAGGAAAGGGCGGCGTCCTGAGAGAAATAGGCAGCCTTGGTTTGGTGGACGCATCGATCGCAAGCAGTAGCAAATGAAACAAGAAGGAAGACAGAGCAAAGGAAGAGAACCATGTTTTTGTGATGAGGAAAACAGAGAGGTGGACCTGGGATATATCTAGCGTGGTGAAGGTGAATTGGGAGATTGGACTGCATCAAAGTTGGCATCTCCAGAGGGGGGGAAAAGGCTAAAATGGAATATGATATGATATCTTTCAATGCCAATGTTGCTTAGTGCAAGTGAATGAAAGGAAGACGCATTAGGTTAATGGAGTCTCTTAAGCACCCTGCGAATCCGCACATACAGCTGTGATGCAGATGGCCGTGTGATCGTGGGTACGTAGATGAGCATCGTTAAGCATTTGCGCACTTGGAGCTTTCGTCCCACTTCCTTTATCACAATTTCAAACTAATAATCTTGGAGATTAGGAAGGAAATTCTGCTTCCCAAGTGAAGCCGCCTTTCTTGTTTATTCACCTTTACCCTGTGGAGGAAAGATGGGTATATCTATCCTACTGGGAAGCAATATGCAAGCAAAAGCAAAATTACGATCCCATTTGCTTCTTTTTCATTTTTTTAAACTTCAAATCATCAACATCTTTTTCTTGGCAGCTGTCCTCTGTGAAAATATCTGTTTTGTTAACTGTGGTATGAGAAGCGTACGTTTGAGACCTGCATTGCGCGCAACCAAGATTACAGTCAGATGAGCTTCTAAAAGTTAACGTGGCACTGGACCCCGATTTCTGGATGATGATGATGCGTGAGTGGAATGAGTGATATGATATCTTTTGATTTTAATGTAATTTTGTTGCTCGGTGGAAGTGCCTACAAAAAGAAAGACGCAATAACTTGATGGTGGTTGATGATGTCTGAAACTAGAAGCACATGCTGCGGTTTCCAATTGGCTAAGTTACAAACAGCCAGAAATAAATGCTACCTTGCAAAGGTTAGTATTCAAACTCCACTACCATTGCAAGGTGCTCGTTAGTGGGAAGTGGGGAATATTTAAACGCCTCTGCTAGTGACCTTGTGATGGATTTCATAAGCGTTTGAAACTAAACGAACCAATGTGATTAAGGAGTATTTGGATGGAATCAACACTACAGTTTTAAAAGTGATTTTGCGATATACGGAGTAAATATGTGGAGAAATTTATCTTGATTTACAGAAAAAGTGTTTTTAAAAAGCATTTTTCATGTTACCCAAACACCCTCCTAGGAAAGGAAAATGAAATTTTGAGACCATATTAAACAAAGAATGACATGTTAGACCTAAAAAATTGAAAACGTCGATTAAAAAACTTAATCCTTTATTGGCACTTTTTTTATTAAAAAAAATGATTTAACCAAAACACTAGTATTCATGCCGGAGCTGAAAATTCTAAAAATTCAATTGAACATTTTCTTCATCTTCGTATTCTTCAATATCTAAAATTCTAGGAACAAAATTTTAAAACAACAATACGTATAAGCTGAAAGTCTCACATGAATTAAAAAAAAAAAAAAAAGAAACTGTATAGTTGAAAATATTCCAATTGCACTTTTATGCTTTCATGTTTAACTTTTAGAAGGTTGAACTCAATTTTTCAAAAATTTTCAACTTACGTATGAATAGAATCATTTTGGTCAATGGACTCGTTTTAACTTTTACAGAAACCAAGTCCTCGATTGATTTTTTTTTTGTTATAAAAAAAATACTCCTCTGGTTCTTAATATAGGACTCAATTGTTGAGTTGGTTTTGGTCCTAAATATAAGAACCATTTCTCATATTTATCAATTTTCTCTAAATTACCCATATAGATACTCCCTCAACCATAGTCAATTAGAAGAGGGAGAAAAGGTATTAAAAAAGATGATTATGGTATTTTAAAAAAAACATGTCATATTTTTTATAATTAACTAAGTTACCTAACTTCCTTAATCTAATCAAATTAGTTAAATAGGTCTTATATTAAGGACCGGAGGAGTACTTCACAAAATTCGTGCGCACAAAGTCACATTACTTGAGTTTTAAGTGCTTTTCGCTAATAAAATTTTCCCCGAATTTTCCAATAAAATTTCAATGTTTTGTTTAGAGAAGTTAATGTGTTGATTACCTTGCTCGAAAGAAACACCACACGGATGATAAAGTTATAAATTTTGATACCCCCCGACAGGAGGCCGGAACTCACCTCTAGCATGTAACAGCATCGACCGCATGCCGTTAGCTAGTCTCTTTTCTAGCACATTTTAACTGTAGCCTTTGTATTTTTTTTTTTAAAAAAAACAAGAATCAATCTTTTGAAGCATCATTATCATTCATCTTCAGTCCCAAAGTGCCAATTTTGTACTATAAATTATGAATGAAACAACTTAATAAAATAATAATGAAACAATAATTGTACAATTTTTCTAAAAATAAAATAAATAGGGTTTGTACGAAAGTGAAGGTTCTCATATAATGAATGCTTGTCATGGTCAAAGCACTGCTTCAAATTTTTGGGATCCCGACGTCCCACTGACAAGCAAAGGTGGCACGGGAGGGCACGCTTTGCTTACATTCATTCGCAAAACCACCTCTTACGATAGATATATCTCATATATTATGCTTAGTATTAGGAAGTCGCAGCAATCCCACATCTAATTGAAATGCGTAAAATTTTAAGACCCCGAATCAAATATGGCAGTGAAGACCATCGTGATCAATCAGCGGAGCCAACTCTCTTGGACAACTAACACTGTACATGCTATGCGCTATTCGAATTATCTGGACATCCTGTTACTTGTGATAGTCACCAGAAAAACGAGTGACTGTATTTTGTGACCCGAGAATAGCTGCTAAGCGTGTTTCATTTCAGTTTCCCTTTTCGGATAGAATAGCTACAAGCTCTGATCGAGCCTTTTCAAGGGCATCTTCTAAATTCTCAGGCTTCTTACCACCTGCCTGAGCAAAATTGGGTCTTCCTCCCCCTCCCCCACCACATAACTTTGCTATCTGTCCTATAAACTTGCCTGCCTGAATTCCCTGATCAACAATCCCTGGGGTGAAAGCAGCAACCAGGCTAACCTTATTTTCACCTGGACATGACCCCAATATCACAGCTGCCGGGTCTGGTAATGTTTCTATTAAATATTCTGCTGCATTTTTTAGGGAATCAGGATCAACATCATCCAAGCACTCAACTAGTACCCTGAAACAAAATTTTCAGATATCAGGAAATAGATGTCATACATCTAACCACTATAGTGCACGCATTTCAGTTCTCCCCCTTCTCTAGTTTGTTCAATATATTCTTAAATATCAGGAAATACATACATGCAGGGGATGGTTGGGGTTCTAGCCATTACCTTTACATTTACACAATAGATATTTCATGAATTATCAAGGATACGATGCAATCACTGCTTCTCGATTGTCAGATTTCCACGGTCAAGACACAGAAAACCAGAAGGCAAAATAATAATGATAATAATAAGACTCAGATTTCTTAGAACCCTTTCCCTTTTGTATGTTATTTGGAGTTCACAAGATAAAATATCCTCTACCCTAACTATAGGCGACATGGGGAAACATCTGAAGGAAATTACCTGAACTGTTTTGAATTTCCCACCAACAAAGCTTTGCTTGCGACAACTGATGCTTTGTAGACAGCTGCTTTTGCACGTAAAGCAGAATTTTCATTTTTCGCTTCCCGCAACTCCTCTAAGAGGTTTTCTACCCTCGTTGTCACTTCTTCAGGTTTCACCTTCCCAAGGAAACAATCAAGAAAAGCAAAGTCAATGTTACAGAGCACGTAGTATATATGATGCGAGTGCACTTAGAGGAATGGAATGATGTCATATTCTGAATAATAAAAATTCGAAAAGACAGTTTTTGTAATTATTTAGATTTCAGATAAAAATTTTAAACACGAAATCTAAATAATTAAAAAACTGAAAATTACAACTTCCAGAGTAAGATCTTGCCCTATCATTATTGCAGACTATAAACAACTCTAATACCTAATGCGCATAACCATTATATCAATTTCACGTAGGAAATGTCTATGCATGTTTTTGTATATAAGAACATTATACCAAATGACCATAATGTTCAGATAGATGTAAACAAGTACATGGAGATCATGCAGACGAATATGAATGATACCTCATACCTGACTCCTTCATGTATCAATGATAAATTACTAAAACAAAGAATTGATAGAAGTGGAGATCACGAAGCATACTTTGAGAGTGGAACATAACTGCTTAATGTAAGAGTCTCTGGCAGTAACATATTCAATGAAAGCTTCACCAGCTACAGCTTCTATACGCCTGATTCCAGATGCAATACCCTGCTCTGAAATTATCCTAAAACCACGAATTTCAGAAGTATTAATAACATGGGTCCCGCCACAAAGCTCCATGGATACACCAGGAACCTCTACAACACGTACCTGCAATACAACAAGTTCACTGAGAACCGCAGGAGGTTGCATGAAGATACCCAATCTTAAAAGTGGTGGGGAGAGCTTAGGATCAAACTTTTGTCTAGAAAGTTCATTGCTTTCACAAGCTTTTCGAACACTTAATTGATTCATTTTTTGGTTGGATAAAGCGGGTTAATGAATTGACATCTTCAGTTAAATATATTTTCAAGACACTCAAACTTCTAGGAATGGTTAAGAATCAACAACAATAAAAATGGTAATTAAAGCCAGAAGAAGAGCCAGGGTTGGAGGACTGGTTATATTTTGCAATCCATCCTTGATAGTCTAGGATATGAGTTGCTAGATACATCCTTCATGGTATACGTATGACTAAAACAGAAGCAAGCTAATTGAAAATTGAAGTTCAATATCAGAAAATATGCAGTAAAACCTCTTCTCCATATTTTTCTCCAAACATTGCTATAGCTCCGGCCTTTTTTGCATCAACAAGAGGCATCACTTTGGTTTGAAGAAGTGTTGCATCCCCAATCCATCCATTGATTAGTTTTTCAATTTCTACAAGCTCGCTGTCAAGAAGTGGTCGATGGAAATTGAAATCAAACCTGAGCCGATCAAATGCCACCAAAGAACCAGCTTGTGATGTCTCTGGACCAATAACCTTCTTAAGTGCAGCTTGCAGTAAATGAGTAGCAGTATGATGGACCTTCAAAGAAACAATCAAATTTAAATAGAACCTAGAGGACTTACAGAGATAAGCAGCAAGTAACTATTAAAGGGCATGTAAGGATTTTATTCTCCTGAATAATAAGAGTAAAGATGTACTTATTTGCAAAAGAAACGACAAGTTAACCATTTTTGTACCTTGGCTCGATGCCTCAGTTTTACATCCACTGCTGCCTCCACTTCTTTACCTACCTCTAGAAATCCCTCTCGGATTGTTCCCTTATGAATAAATATGTTACCTAAGGATTTCTGAACATCTATTACCTCAACAACAGCCTTCGGTTGATTTTCACCCTCAGCAATATATAGAAAACCATGATCTCCAATCTGGCCCCCTGATTCAGCATAAAATGGAGTCTTATTAAGCAAAACTTCCACATCACTCCCTTCACTAGCCATGACTGCTGGGTCACCATTCACCACAAGACTTTCTACTATAGCTTTAGCGTAAAGGCTGTCATATCCAATAAATTCAGTGTTAGTTACATTTTCTGCAATATTGGCCCCATTTCCCATAGCAAGCTTGACAGTATTATGCGCAGCCTGAGATTGACGCCTTTGCTTCTCCATTTCAATATCAAAACCATTCAAATCAATAATCACACCACGTTCTTCAGCCACTTCCTTTGTTATTTCAACTGGGTACCCGTAAGTATCATATAAAAGAAACACATCTTCACCGGACAAGCAAGGTACAGTCCCAGTTTTCTCTGCACCTGATAAAGCTTCTGCAAGTTTCTCCTCGAGCAACTTTTCTCCTCTCTCCAGTGTCTGCACAAACCGAAGCTCTTCTCTCTTCAACTCCTCAAAGATCTGGGGTGCTCTGCTCTTTACATCAGAATCAATATGGGTACTTAACTCCACTACTTTCTCAGCAATGGCAGGTAAAAATGCCCCTTCAAGGTTTCCCAAACCATCACCCTTTATACCAAGCAACCTGCCTGTACGGACAACCCTTCTGATAAGACGTCGAACTACATAACCTCTCCCAATATTTGACGGGACCACCCCGTCAGATATGAGATATACTATTGCACGCATGTGATCCCCTATGATCTAAGATAAAAAGAAAAATGATGCACAGTGAGAGAAAGAAAGCAACTAGTGCTTAAATCCTACTGCGAGAAATCATAGTGTGTGTTGTTTACAAATAGTCATACTTTCAGGTTCGTCTTTGTCTGATCATCAGCAACAGCATATGAAACATTTGCTAACTCAGAGGCTTTCTCTATTATGGGATAGATCAAGTCAGTTTCATAATTGTTTGGAACCTGCCAAAAATATAAATGAAGTACAAAGAGAACTTTATAGATATACATCTATTTATCTAGATATACTTTTGAGAAAAGAATTGGCTAATAATATGTTACTTTCACATCAGTGCAAATCAATGGATACCTTTTGGAGGATGCGGGCCAAACGCTCCAGGCCAAGCCCAGTATCTATATTTTTCTGCTTTAGGGGTTCAAGAGAACCATCATCCTTTTTATTGTATTGCATGAAAACTAGATTGTAAAACTCTATGAACCTTGTATCATCACCAAGATCCTGCTTTCATCCCCCAGCCCAACCCACCCAAAAAATTACAAAATATAGTAAGACATCACTTTGATGTGGTTTTGAGTCACTCTAAACAATTGTATACTTACAGCGTCTTCATATCCTCTCTCAGGATGAAAATCATAGTAAATTTCTGAGCAAGGACCACAAGGACCAGTTACTCCACTGGTCCAGAAGTTATCTTCTTCGCCCAACTTCTTTATACGATTAAATGGAACGCCCACCTGCAGGAACAAAGACTGTGTAGTTAATATGTCATGCAGTGCCTAACCCACTAAGATATGTCGCTTAAAAGCTCATGCCCAAATAAAAACTCAAAAAATTCAATGGAAGTATTTTAAGAAATTAGCGGATCATGCTCAGAGGAATGCATTTTTAAGCTAACCTCATCAGACCATATAGCAAAGGCTTCATCATCATCTTTATAAACACTAATCCACAATCTGTCGGCTTGCAAACCAAACCTGTAAGTAAATGAATAAAATGCTTTTTTTTTTTTTTTAACATTCTGAAAAAACAACTACTCAAAAAGGCAACAACTTATCTCCTTTTTCATAATGAATAACAGATATAATACAATTAGGTCAGAATGTTATGTGCATAAACAAGAAACATGAGCTTTGAAGAATTACACTATTAAAAAATGACACGATTGATGTTATTCATATGTTCTAGACTTTCTAATAATCTTTGGAAACCTGGTCATTGCTTCTTGTTAAAACCCTCACAATATAACACCATCAAAAGGTTGCATTCAACAGGCTAGGTAATACAGCTATTTGAAGACCAAAAAGTTAATTGTAGGCCCATACGTCAAATGAAAGCAACCAAAAAAATTGCATATTGATCTGCTTTACAGCTACGTCATGTTTTTCTGAATTTAAAAGTGGAGTTCTGCAGTTCAATTGAAAGAAGTGTATTCAGCGTGGGTTTTTTTTTTTTTTTTAATTTTTTTTTCATCTTAAAGTGGATATTGTCTCCAAAACTTGTTTTTCAAGAAGAGCAATTTAATTCCAATCTTCTCAACCATTTACTGTACGAAGAAAACACAGAGCATAGTTCAGCAAATTAGAAGACATTCATAGCTTACTCTATGGTTGAAAGTTCCCACGCCCATTTAATTGCTTCTTTTTTGAAGTAATCGCCAAAGCTGAAGTTTCCAAGCATCTCAAAAAATGTCTGATGTCGAGTCGTTCGGCCTACATTCTCCACATCATTTGTTCGTATGCACCTTTGTGCAGTTGTCGCACAAGGTACCTCTCTCGGAACCTAAGCACAATATGCTTATACAGTTGAAACTTGATACTGCCTCTGGTCCTTGCAAATTTTTCGATTGTAATAATAGAAATTTACATTAACAGTGCACAATATTCAAACCTTTCCCAGAAATATAGGCTTGAATTGAAGCATTCCCGCTATAGTTAGGAGAACTGTGGGATCATCAGGGACCAGAGAAGCGCTAGGAAGGACCTTATGACCGCGGGAAGCATAAAAAGTAAGAAATTTATAGCGAATGGAATCTCCACTCACAGGGTTGTCCTTCAGTTTTTCCACAACAAGTTCTTCAGTAAACGGTGGCGATGACGCTGAAATGCCACGCGGTAACTATCACAACCCTTAGACATCAAAGATAAGGAGCATTAAGAAAGATTAAGGCTATTTACATGACTAACTATAGCAACCTGATGTGCTCCTCGCACGGAACAGCAAGCCACGTCGTTCTCTAACAGTTCGAGTACCGGGCAACAATTTGCTAGAACATGGAGATGATAAAGCTTCTGTTACAAAGCCTGCGTTAATGCCAAGTAGGTTAGGATTGATATCAAGTTGCAGCATCAGCCGAAGAAGGACATATTTAATAGCAAAGATAAAGAAAGGAAAGAAGTCCAAAGACGTATCAGAGAGTTGCTTTGTGATGTATCCAGTTTTGTCATTTCATCCTAGGCTCCGTCAAGTTAATATCTTCTTGCATAAAATGAAAAAATAAAAAAAGGAATAAACTGCGTCTTATTAATACAAGTCCCTGAAGTATCAGTAAACGGCAAGCAATCTTAGAAGTCATGGAAATATTCAAGTCGCAATTTTCACAACTGAAATCCAGTAGTCGACGAACAAGCACCAAGGAAGAATGGGGAAAAATTCATTTGAGAGAAGTAAGCCTTCAACTGTCAACACGCAAATGGCTTCGCTGCTTACGAAACGAATAGAGCTCAGTCGATGAGCACACGTCCTCAGATGCCAGAACATTAGGTTATAGAATCATCCGCGGTGAGAGAACTAAAAGGAAAACTGAAGAATTTAGTGTAGAAATTACCAACGGAGAGCGGAAATTTGCGGCTTCGGGCGGTAAAGAATGTTGATACTGGGAATGAAGTGGAAATAGGAAGTGGCAAGAGATCATTCGGGGGAGGATGTAGAATCTTTAAGTTTTCCATGGCCGCAAACTGGATTATGCGTTGAAATTGGCGGTTAAATCCGTTGGTATGATGGGAGAGGATAAGCCTTATTTGAGAGCTAATCCAACCATTTCGAGCATGGAGACGCAAGCGGACGGAGACCCCAGTTTAGCGTGGCCTCCACCTCACCACACAGACCTCCTACTGCACTCGTGGGAAAATTGTCACGGAACTTAGAAATTGGAACCTAATAAATTAACTTTAAATTTCTTTCTCAGCCAGATTAATAAATTTTCTGCCCCTTATGGAAGTTTTGTAATAAAATGATTTAATTGTCCATTTTTTTGGGGGAAAAAAACTCCCCCCACCGCTAACGGATGGAGCTCTAGTGGAAGTGGTGAATAGCTAGAGAATTACTATTTGGAATGAATAATCTTGAAATTAATGACTATTTTACTTTAAGCTACATTTTTACTTATATGAAATGATAATAAAAGATGGATAATGATAGCTATTACTTTAAAAAACTAGGTTGGGGTTTTAAGTATTAGTGATAACCTAAATATTAAAGACTACTTTAATAACAACTTTAATTACATAAAATCATAACAAAAGTCTCAATTGTGTCAACTAATATTTTGACAAGTTAGTTTTTGATTTAAAGTGTTAATGTGATAATTTGGGGACCAGTAACCACTTCACTTTAAGAAATAACCTATACACCAGCTGTGGTAATATTGGAGATTTTACATAAAGTTTATTTGTTGAATTCGGAGTAGCTCACATTGGTGGTTCAATCGGAAGAACGATCTATCCTTTTAAATAGATCATCACACATACTGCCTCTGGTCCTAATTATTAATTATAAGAACTAGTTGACTAATTTGAAGAAATCAAAGAAAGAAGTTAAATTAGTTATTTGTAATAAATAGGTATTGTCTTTCCTAATTATAAGATTTAATTAAATGTGTTGGCTAAAATTATCATTGTTAGAAGGACTACCTTAGAAAAAAAAAATATAAATATGAGAGACAAAATAGATTTGGGTCTTATATTTAGAACCAAAATAAAAGTTAAACAAAATTTTATATTAAGAACCGGAGATAGTTTCATTTATGAGGATATAAGTAAAATGGTTACTGTATTTATTAAAATGAAGAAGTCGGTCTCAAAAGTTTGCTTCCTCCTCGCTTATTCTTAGGTCATTGGAGCTCCATGGCCAATATCGAAGCTCCGGCTGCTGGGGGTAACGACTAGAATTCTAACGGCCGACAATAAAGAGTTTAAAAAACGCCATAGGCAATTAAGTTAATTCATAACAAAACTTTAATTCTAGGATAGTTCTCATAACCTCTGCAATAGTTAGGCTATTTCAAGGTCATAATTTGAGATACATGCAGATTCAGTGGTATTTTTCCATCATTCTTTCATGAAAAAAAAAAATCATCTAATTAATGCGGATGAACGCAACTGATGGTGCTCACGCACAAAGCTAATGCATTATTGGCAATATTTGATTTTATTCTGGTGACTACGGACTAATCAAAGCATAAATATTTGACAGATCAATGCCATAACAATGAGGAACAGATGGACAATAATTTCACGCCTGCTTATATGATTGTGTGTTTCTCTTTTTTCGCAAATTTAAGTGACTGTTCCAACCAATGTATTTTTTCTTGGACCATAATTGTTTAAGGGTGTGTTTGGAATCACATCTGGACTTTCAAACTGACTTCTCTACCGGCAAAAGAAGCTTTTTTGATTTGGGATGTGTTTGGAATCACATTTTTGCAATCTAACTTCTGTCACTGATACGGACTTATACAATAAGCTCAAAAAAACTGCTTTTATCCCATCTGACTTCTGTAAAAGTCAGATTAAAAAAAAAAATTGCTTTTCCACCACTAATCCAAACACATCCTAAAAAAAAAAAGAGGCGTGTATTCAATAAAATCAATACTTTATTTTTTTATTAAAAATAATCCTATTTAAGATATTATCATATATTAAATGTAATAAATTTTATGTTATGAAGTACTAAACTCTTATGGTGGATGACTGAATAAAATCAATATGATGCTGCAGCGCCCCTCCTGACCCCAAAATGTCGATGAATAATGCCTGACAAGTAGACACCTAAGCTTCGTGGCCTCAAGGCCTAAGGAAAGAAGTGCACACATTAAAACGAGTGGTGGTCAGCTGGCATACAAGCCCTAGAGTACGCAATGCCTACCCCCTAAATTATGTTAGCTTGTTGGGAAACACGTAATAAGGACCACGAGCCCAACTGCGATTAATGAAAGATTGCACATGGCAATGCGCCATATCAGCACAACAGTGCGGACAACACAGTACATGGAGCTTGTGTACTTGCGTGCGCACTATATATTTATATACCTCAAACCGGACTAATAACCACACTCCACAACCTCAATCAGCCAGTGTTGTGCATGGCCAGGTTCCTCCTCCTGCTCTAGAGCTGTTTATCAGTGAGTCACTTCTTCTAATCATTAAAAAATAACCATGGTCAGCGCGAAAAAGCTTGCCAATATGGCAAGAAAGTGGCAGAAGATGGCGGCTGGTAAGCGTAAGAGGATATCGTACAAAAGAGACGGCGTGGACTTGTATTCTTCAGAGGCAAACGAGGGCCATTTCGTGGTTTACAGCATAGATCATAAGCGATTTGTGCTTCCCCTCAAGTATCTCAAAAGCAGCGTCTTCAAGGAGCTGCTCAAGATGTCTGAGGAAGAGTTTGGACTGCCTTCCAACGGACCTCTTGTGCTGCCTTGTGAAAGCGTCGTCTTGGAGTATGTAATCTCGTTGGTCAAAGAAAGAGTCCCGGAACATGTAGAGAAGGTCTTAATCGCTTCAATGGCTACATGTCACGGCCTTGCGTCGTCTTCTCTTGCTCCCGCACAACCCCACCACCAACCCATAATCCGTGGCTATTAGAGAGATTTCGATGCTTTTCTCTGCATGTAATGTCTAGATTGCAGATCACAGACCTATGGAACTTCAGCTGGGCCTTCAAACCAGTGCTGTAATAAAATCCCAGAATCGTAGTTACGCGCTTATCACTCTTTTGTTTTAAATGGTTTGACTCGGGCTAGTGACGTTTGTCCTTTGGCACACACGTACTTGATTATAAACGACCCCCGAAACAATTCAACCCGAGAAATTTAAACTGCTAAATAAAGGTCATTGATCGAGTTTCTACCACAAATCCCACTTCTGTGTCAAAACTACTTATTCACATCTTTTAGTTTGGATATATATTGGATAATCGAAAAATAAGAAGAATGCGTAGGGCCTCCTCAGGATCTGCCCGACCTCTCCGATAGAGGTGGTCTGAAGTTCGCAAAGAAATTCAGAATTCACGGTCGTGAGCTATCCCCGATTAGTGTAAAAACGATACGATCGGCGAGGCGCATGGATGCCGGTATTTCAAAATCTTGGACTGACGTCTCTGCAGCTTTCTCCAAGAGTTCGTCACCCAGAACAGACACTTGGATTTTTTTTCTTTTCTTTTGCTGTTTGGGGGGTTCATGCACAATTTTATTCATTCTAGTTCTTAGGCATAATCAACTTCTGGGTTTTCAGTGGCCGCGGAGAGAAACTTTTAAGCGTTGACATTCTGCTCACTTAAAAATAAATAAATCGAATTTATAAGAAGCAATGTGAGAGAGAGAAACTCTGTGTACCATTGCACGCACCAAAATATCAGCGAGTGTTTATCAACGCTTAAAAGTTTCATAAGGAAAGTGATTTTTCAATATCAAATCACTTAATTAAAAAGCCATGCATTAGTCACGATGGTATGTAAATAACATGACAGATATTATTGTTATAAAAAAGAAAACATGACAGATATTATAATTACAATCATTAATGATCAGGAATCATGTCTTCAAAAAATAATTATATGCTTTGTCTTGAAAAGAGCCTTTTTTTTCCCCCATAAGAAACTAACTTGATACTCATCCGATCCTACATATAAGACTTATTTCTTATATTTATCGACTTTTTCTAAACTATCCCTATGTATACTCTCTCAATCATAATCAAGTGACAAAGGAAGGGAGAATATTAAATAAGATGATTATAGTGTTTTACGAAAAACATATCATATTTCCTATAATTAATTAACTTACATAATTTTCTTAATCTATTCAAATTAGTTAACTAAATCTTATATTAAAGAGCGGAGAAGTACTACAAAATATCATAAAAGAACATCCGGGAAAAATAAGAGAGTTCTTCTCAATAATTAATTTCATGTATAAGATTAGGAAGCAATTTTTTAAATCTTCAAGATTAGGAAATCCATAAAAGGGAGTAGAGTCATAGCAAGAAGACCAATGTCTGTTTACCCTAAGGAGGAGCTATCATTAAGCAAATTGGCAATGCACGGGATCTCCCCCCCCCTCCCTCTCTCTCTTCCCAGATATACAATGCAAATTATATTAAATAATTATGGAATTTGCATAATTCACTTGTTAATCTCCTTTACACATGATGAGGGGCTAAATTATCCTCATTTGAAAGTGCATGGAATCAATGAACTCGTGCATATGGCTTGCATAATATATACAAAACAGAGAAACACATGCAATATTTTTATTTACCGTAATCTCCATCCCTAACAATCTCAAGCCGCAGCAAAATCTCCTTCCAACAAATAATTAGACAAAAATGGGGCAAGCGGAATAGGGAATATTTTTTTTTTTTAACCACAAGGAATAGGGAATATAGGAGGTACTGAAATAATGACCACACCACATGAAACATATGGGCATAATGAGAAGTATGACTAAGCATGAACGTTTGCCGTGAGTGAGTGGTCCAGCTAGACAACTTTACAAGAGAAGATAATCTGAGGAGGATAATGGCTTCGGGATGCAGCGGAGAAACGGTGGGATTTTCATCAATGAGGTCAGAAATACGTACGTACTCCGGTGTCCCACAGGGTTTTCTAAATACCCCGGATATCCTAACTTAAATAAATCCGATTATCTTAAAATAATAATAGAACAATCCTAATTGCATTTCCATCACTCATTCTGTGGCCATGATACTTTTGCATGTACACATCACAACGATCGACTACAATGAAATCTGACATAGCCGGAAAGGGCAAAGATAAACCATATCATTTTATTCAGACTCCTATCAGGTGAATATACAAGCTATGCTGTAGGTAATACATCCCACGTAAATGATATATTCATGAACTGCCGAACCAAATGAGAGCTCTCTATAAATCTGCCTTCGGTTACAAATTGGTCATTCACTCGGCAATCTGCAAATGCAAGGAAATGAGTTAGCCAGATTTAGTTTTGAATCAACGAACCAACAAAGTTTCATAACATAAACACACCTAAAAGCCAAAAATAAATAAATAAATAAAAGAAACAAAGACAGAAATTTGTAAATCAAGACAGTAGTAGCAAGCAAAACATGAACATTAACATTCTGAAGCATCCAAAAGGCCCTGGAATTCGCATCCAGCCAAACATATATTGCAACTTACTTGATTAAGAGGATTGTCGGGAGATTTCTTCCATAGCTTCCATATCATGTCCTTATATTGAGTGTGTGTAAGGCCCGGTTTCTCTTCCTTCAACTTAGGAAGCTCAGCCTCTTCAAAGGCCTGCACCATTAAAAAGAGAGCACACCAGTGACAAAAAGAACTCAGGATACAACTCAAGAAGTAGCCAGTCTATCAGTAAACTACTCCCCTAGCAGAAGCATGTTCGAGATTGCTGATCAGAACAGAAAAATAAACCACGGCTTTTGTTTGCAAATTAATTGCATTTCATAAAGAAGCAGATGTAGTGCATTAAGGGATTGATAGGTAAGGCAGTTTGGGAGTAGTAGGGCTGGTTTGTGGGATTGTTTGAGCATCTGAACAATGGATTCAATATCCAAGGTTTAGGATTTAATGCAATGGAATGAGTAAAGATGGTTTAAAACCATCCCAAACCATTACAATACCATTTAAGAACCGCTCCAAAGTCCAAATTGGGAAGGTTTGGGTTCTTTATAAGTTTTCAAGCACGTTTAGTCTCGCATTGGAAACATCCAAAAACACGGATTTGGCAGTTTCCACGTAAAACCAAGCATGCCCTTCATTTGTTTCAATATTTTTAAGATGGTTAACATCACAAAGATAATGTTTCAAATTCAACCCTTCAATCCCATCCCACCTCATTTATCAAAATTGTAACATCTAATCAGTGGGGAGCAGGATATCACCGTTTCCCCACAATAAACTTCAAGTCAATGAAGCGGCTTGTCCTCACCCATCCCACTTCACACCTCCATTCATAATATTAGAATAGAATGACAGCTTCAAAGTTTTATCCCTAAGTAAGTAAATTCCATTATTCGAAGATCCGTGTCGTTGCATCATTATTCAGAAATTCAGCTAACCAACAATGTTAAAAGAATTTGTACTCGAAACAAAAGCCAAATCAATGCACCCTGGAATATAAAACCCCATTGTTCACAAACTCAACCAAACAGTCCCTGATGCGATGAGCAACAGCTCAATATACCACTCTACTCTTCCAGCCAACAAGTAAAAGCAGCAATTACTAAAAGGCCAAAGCAATGCATTAAAATCAACCAAATTAGTTCATGAGACGTTCATTTTGCTCACAAATTATTATTACTGCTTCTTTAAAAAAGTCGTTACTCTTATTTCGTCAACCATTGCAATAAAACCAACCAAATTAGTTCAAGAGATTGATTTAACACGTACAAGCGACACCATCCATTTAATCAATAATCATAACATATTTCCGATCATACAATATACATTGCAGCGTGAGTGAAGTTAGTCTAAGCCCAAACTCACAGAACCACAAGCATGTTGTAAAACAAACTAAACCCGGAATTTATAGTAGGGACTTGGGAACTACGTTATATTGAAATTGGCAGTGGTAATAATGAATAAATGAAAATCAAACAAACCTTGAAGGAGGCCTTTAGGCGCCTCTCCGGATGCCTATCAACCGGCAAGTTATCAGTGACACTCATCTGAGCGATGGCATCCTCCACAGTCCTTGCTTCGATGATAGAATCGTCACGATTGGTATTCGTCACGAGCACCATCCTCTCATATTCTTCCTCCGCTGCAGTGCGGGCCTGCCGCTTCTTGGCCTCTTCCGCCTTCTTCTGAATTTCCGCCTGCTCTTTCTCGCGCTGCCTCCGGAGCTCAGCATCCGTCACCTTCGGCACCGGTATAGAGACCCGGTTGGCCTTCTTGTCAGGCTTTCTCATCGAATTATCAATTTCCTTCTCCTCCATCTCGGCTAAGCGACGTGCCTCAGCCCGTCGAGCGGCAGCTTCGGCTTTTTTCTCGGCCTCTTCCTCACGCTTCTTAGCAGCACGCGATTTGGAGCCCTCAGCTTCTCGCCAATAGTGATCCTCCTTTTCGCGAGCCTCGCGTTCCTTACGCTCGGAATCGACCGCGCTCTTACGAGACCTGGCGGCCTCAGCCTTGCTGTTAACGCCCATCTTCTTCGGCATCTTTACGGCTTTAGGGTTCGAATCCTCTACGGCGATCGCGACTACAACCACCGTAAAGCGTCGGACAAGTGGTAATGATTTGGAACACCAATTCTGTTTCACCTACCTTGCCGTTCTAAGTTTCGCATATGATGAAAGAAAGAAGAGGATCTGGTGATCGCAGGAATTTATTCTCGCTAGCTCTGTCAGGGAGATTTTTTTTTTTGCCCCCTTCTCCCCCGTGAGTGAGAAGAATTCCATTCGAATGATCCAGAGACTTGAAAGTATCGTGAGCCCGCTTATTCTGACTGGTAGAAGCGATCTAAAACGAAGCCTGTCGTTTACAGCCCAATTTCTATGGCTATCTTTTTCGTTTGGGCCCTAAAAACGTTATACTGCGAGTTTGGATAAGGTCGACATTTTCAGGAAATGTACGCACCCAATGCATATTATCTAAGCCCTAAGCCCTAATAGAAGGAACTAGCCATTTACAGTAGTATGACATGAAGGTTTAAATTTTTATTAGGAAAAAGTTTTATATTTAGTGTCCTATAGTATCTCGAATATGATTATTTCTAACAACAAAAAATTATCTGAGCCCTTCAGATTTTTTTTTGGACCACGGAGTCCTGCTGAGCTAGTATAACCATGCCAGATCATTTTTACTCCGTATTTTAAATTTAAATTTCAATCATAGTTGAGTCAATTGATTATGACTTCTGAGAAATTTGATGTTATGTGAGAAAACATATCTTATGAAAAATAACAATCAAAGATAAAATATGAAGTTTCCGGTTTGATCATATGGACGAATCGAATCCACGTTAGTGTTTTACTTGATATTTTTCAGGTATGACTTGCTTTTTCTTGCCAGCGAATTTTCATGTATATATCACTTGGTAAGTCTTCAGCTTGGGAATAAAATTGTAGTATTAGCCTGAATAAGTTATTTTGATTTTGATTCATGTATTAGATTTAGATCTTATTTATAATTTATATAGAAATCAGTCATGGGGTTAAGTCTGTTTTTAAACTTAATGTTACAACTCATTTCGTATTTTATATTTATCATTTTTTTAAACTAATTTATCTAACTAATAAGTTTACTTATAATTATTTTAGTCAAGTTATATCATATTTATTATAATTAACTAGATTTTATGTCTTTTCGAATCTCTTTCAAATTAATTAAATACTCCTCCGGTCCTTAATATAAGACCCATTTAATTAATTTGATTAGATTAAGAAAGTTAGGTAAGTTAGTTAATTATAAGAAAAGTGACACATTTTTCCTAAAACACCATAATCATCTTTCTTAATACCCCCTCTCCTTCTTCTACTTGATTATGGTTGAGAGAGTATACATAAGGGTAATTTAGAGAAAATTAATAAATATGAGAAATGAGTCTTATATTTAGGACCAAAACCAACTCAACAATTGGATCCTATATTAAGGACCGGAAGAGTAGTACTTATGGCGTGTCTCTTTCTTTCTTTGAGATGCATTTGATATGCCCCAGCCCCACGGCCAGAACAAACAATTAACTTAATAGATTGTGAGCAGATTATTGATAAATTTGTTAATTTTTAATCACAAAAACAAAGAGAACATTTGCGACTGGAAAAATATTAGTCGTGCTCTCATCTTGATTTTGAAAAAGGTCTTGCCCTTTCTTTTGATAATCTATAATGTGTATTAAGCTCGAGTCTTGATTCACCTAATATGAAACCAAGCACATAACGCAATATTTTTAAAATACTCAACCTGAATCTTTAAAATTAATGTCATGTCATGACTTCAATATAATATAAAAAGACTGATCCCTGCATAGACTGCATGAATAAATCACGTGCTTCAAGTATGCCAGAGTTGACGTACAGATATTTCTGTGCCCATGAGGAAGAATCGACCGAAGCCCATAGCATCGGCATATTTGACAACTGAATCTACCTCATTTGTGATGCAAAAGCAGAATAGAAAATGACGACGATAGATAAACCTAATCAGCATGGTTGCCAACAGCGGTAAAAATATGCTGGTAAAAAAAATTAACAGTGGTGAAAATATAAACAAATATAAGGGTATATATAAATTATTATTTCTTCTTGTTGTAAATTTAAAACCTATTTTATAATATTATTTACACTATAAAATAAGTTTGGGCGAATATTTCAATTTCAATATGGTTCCCGTCATGTGCTTGCAGCCAAGCATTCTGAGTCTATGCTGTCCTTTCGACACGTATCCAATCCTTTTGCATCAGAAGCGTCCACCGGAGAAGCAAGGCTCCAGGTTTTTGGTGAAGGGACCAGAAGCGGGTCAACTTCAAGTTGGTCCTTAGCTTTTAAAACGTGCTTTTGACCATTATGACCTCACAAACAACTCTCCAGCAACCAACACCACTCAATTCGGATAAGATAGCAAAGCGTCCAAGTTTAGGTGACGGTAAATACTGCCTCATTTAGCGGCGTTAATCATCATGCAATCTATGATTTTCCATAATACATGGGGTTTGAGGGACGTTTGACTGGGAGTCAGCATGCCCGCCGCTTCATCGGCTCCAAGGGCCGCTTTTCTACGGCGGTGTGATCATCTATCTCTCATGACCCGGAGGACATGCGACGCCGGGTTTCCTCGTCCCCCCGCGTTTATCTATTAATTAATCTTATCATCTTATATGTGATATGGTAATTTAAAAATCAAATCCCCATATCATGGTTGTGGATGACCATTTATTTAATTTATATCCTCGCGCACCGACCCACCGTGTTCACCCATGGATGTCCCAGAACTGCACGCCAAAGCACAGTCTCTCTCTCTCTCTCTCTCCCCCCCTTCCTTCCCTCCTTCGCTTTCATATTCACTTCTGTGATGATATGATCTATCCTTCCTTCTCTTTTATTACAGTGCCCTCCGCTACTTCCTCCATGGCAGCCGGCACTTCCCTCAAGTTCAAGGACTAGGAAGACAAGTATTGCACTCCGGCCGTTCGTTAGAACTGTTCCTTGGTTGCAAAATAAAATAAATTTCAGAATAATATATTTAACATGCGTCCCTTAGTGTACAGATTTTGTTGATATATATACGTATGTATGTATAAATACATGCACCGTGACCATACGATTCCGTTATCCTTTCTCAACGCGCATAATAAATATACGGTCGTCACAGGACCCCCCCCAAGCTGTTGGGTCGGGTGTTAATTAATTGCGCGTTAATTTAAAAGCCGAAGCCATGTGTGCAAATGTGAAGCGAAGCAGAGGATGTGAGTCATTTGATTGAAGTGTACAGGGGTGTCCTATATCCAGACTGTGGGCACTCGCCCAGAACATGCCACTTCCATCCTTTGTTGTTCCCAAATTTCGGCCAGCATTGCTTTGTTATTCCCGGTACCCTGACTTTGGTGGGAACCAGGCAACCAGCACGTTCTATCTGATGGTGCAGCCGGCATTCTATCCTAATTAACATAAATATTCCACTCCCATCACGTGTTTGGTAAAATCAGAGATCGCCTGGCTAATACAAGAGCTTAGCGACCACGACGCCGTTCGACAGCGCATACACTCCCGCCTGATGATAATAAAAAAATAATAAATATTACTAAAATGAAACGACAGCTTTGGGATTCATGAATGAGGATAAACTCGCCAACATTTTTTTACCTATTTAAACATTTTTAATAGTAGGAGTTTCCATTCAAAGTCTGGGTTTCGGTTTTCTTTCAAACCCACCCTAATTCTTGCTCTTTAATACTGCTATTACTTTTTTTTTTTTTTCACTCTGCAAATTCCGAATCCAATCACTCCCACGTAAAAAATCCCTGTCCCTTTTTTTCTTTTATGCTTTTGCTTATAAAATAGCCCTTCGGTTTCTTTCTGGTTTAATGGCGATGGAGGATAACGAGAGCCGAGCCAGCGGAGTGCAGGAAACATCGTCGTCCCCCGCTCAAAGCCGGCAACAGAGACAAAAACTTGAAGTGTACAATGAGGTTCTTCGTCGCCTCAAGGATTCCAGCAACGACGAGGCTATGCAGCCTGGCTTCCACCATCGGCTCTGGGCTCATTTCAACCGCCTTCCGACACGGTTCCTACATTTTTACCCGACCTGTTTCCACCTCATCTTTTCTCTTTCTTTCATATTCTCCCTTTACTTTTGCTCTCTTTATCCATCTATTCAATTTGGTATTTCGGACGTTAGTCCCACACTGGCTGCCTTAAAGCCTCCTTCAAATTTTATATCTCATGATGATGGCTATAATACTTTTTAAAAAATAAGAAGAAGAAAAGAAAACGATCAAGAGAATTTCCAGTTACTTCATGGCTTCTAATACGTGAGAGCGAACTATTTTTCCTCTCGGGTTCAATTGCCTATTTCTCTTTCAATCCCCTGCGAGATTGTTGTGAGCTCTGTTTTCTTGCTGCGAGATCTTCCGTTAGCATTATACTTCATGTTTCGTTTTGAGAAATCTGGTGGGATGCATTTCACAGGTATGCGTTGGATGTGAATGTGGAAAGGGCTGCCGATGTTCTGATGCACAAGAGATTACTGCATTTGGCACATGATCCTGCTAATAGACCTGCGATTGAAGTTCGGCTGGTCCAGGTGGGCGCTCTTGATCTAGTTAATCGTAGCTTGTCTGTTCCTGATGCTTGGAACCAACATGATTGCACTTCTTAGCGTTTTCACGTGGTCATGCGGCATAATTTCTCATGGCATGCTTTAGACTCCAGTTAGTCGTAAATTATTATCTGATTATGCAGTGTAAACGTATGTCCGTGCTCAATAAATGTTCTACATTCACTCTGGAGTACGTAGCGAAGCTTCTCCTTCAGAGCGATGTGATCTCATTTTTGGTTGACCGTGTTCAGAATTGGGTTTCGGACGGGCACTGCGTCTAATGTAGTCACCTCTACATTAAGATAAAGAATACATTACAACGATCTAACCTCTGAAGAGTATTCAGGTCAAAAAAACCTCTGAAGTGTGCGAGTGTCATTGGGTATCCTATGGAATAACATATTCTATGGATTATAACCTTAAAAATAAAACAAAAAAGGAATATTTTTTAATAATAATGCCCATTTTTTTTGGGTTCGTGAACTAGTCTATTTTTGTTTTCTTCATTATATGATTTAACGTGATTGCTTTTAGTA